CGCGGGCGCTCCGCGGGCGTGTGGGCGCTCTAGTGGTGAGAACCAGGGTGCGCTCAGACAGCTGAAGGCTCCTCTCCTAGGTCTGTGGAGGCGGATGGAGGAGGTCTTTGGGGTTTTGCTTTGCTTTCTCTCCACACTGGGACTCGCCTTGGACGTCTTGGTCTGGGAGGCTCTGTTCCTGGAGACACACGTCATCGGTAGCGTCTCTGACGCGTCCCCTGATGCCTTCTCTCACATGTCGTCTCTCCCTGGAGGCCCTTGGCTCTGGTGCAACCAGGATCGGCTAGGCCCACTCTGCCCCTTTACCCGACATGCCCAGGTGTGTCTCAACCCCAGGGGGCACAGTGGCTGGACTCAGGCAACCTGTCAAGTGGCTGTGACCGACAGTTGTTGGACCCTGCGTCCAGGTGTGGGCTGCCCCTTCTGGACACTGCCCTGACTCTCAAGTCCAAGGTTGATGGAGCATTTATTGGGCATCTGCTACCTGCTGGGCTCAGCCTGGTCACTTCCATATTGGCTACCTCACCTGGTGTCCATATTAGAGCCTGTATTTTCGTCGCTGGGAGACAGGACTCAGGGTGATTAATAGGCTGTCAGACTGTAGACTAACCTGTGCTGTGACGTGCTCAGACAGTCAGGTCCGAAGAGGCAGGGCCAAGCGCACCCACCAACGCTGGGTTCTCAGCAGTGCGGCACCCACCGTCAGACCCTCCCACCAGAGTCTGGCGTCACCCTGGGTCTTCCCATCCACCAGGCCACCAGCAGGTGCACTGGCTCCACCACCAAGTTCCAGATCCCTAGCCCTCCTCTCCCGCTCCCTGATGCGGTCAGGCCCACTCTGCCTCAGCTCCTGCTGGGCTCTGGCAGCAGCTGTGGTCCTTGGTGGTCCATGAGACGTGTCCCTCCTCTGCTGGAAATCCTCCTGACTCTCCCTCGCTCCAGGTCAAGGGTCAGCTCTGACAGCTGCATCCCCTGGCTCACCCATACCTGCAGGGCCCTCCCTGCCCAGCCCTGCCCGGCCCTGCCCGGCCCTGCCCAGGCCTGGCTTCTGCTCTCTGGGGCCATCCTCTGTCCCCAGGCCCAGCCACTCCGGGCCCAGCTCTGCCTTTGTTGCCACCTCCTGGAGTGTTTTCCGCTAGCTAGTCACATGGCGGAGTCTCAGCCGGTGACACTCCCAGAGCTGATGTCACTCCCAGAGCCAACATCACCCAGAGATGTCATCTCCTGGGGCAATGCCACCCTCAGAAGGCAGTGTCAGCCACCAGAGATGTCAACCTTGAGAAGATGTCACTCCCAGAGGAAATGTCAACTCCAGGGGTGAGGGCACCCCCAGAGACAATGGCACCCCAGAGATGTCACTTCCAGAGCTGGTGTCCCTCCCAGAATCAGTGTCACCCCCAGAGGAGCTGTCAGTTCCCAGAGGTGATGTCATCCCCCGAGAAGATGTCATTCCCAGACAAGATGTCACCTCCTGAAGTGGTGTCAGCTCCCAGAAGAGATGTCACCCCATGTCACCCCAGAAGCAATGACACCTCCTGAGGGGAGGTTGGCTCCCAGAGGGGACGACCCCGAGGAGCTCTCGGCCCCGACCTTCCCTGCCCACGTCTCCGGCTGCCTCCCTGTCTGCTCTGCCTCTGGCCCTTGCTGGCCGTCCGTTCCCAAATCACAAACACACCCACGAGGCTGAGGCGGGCAGCAGTGGCCGCCTACCCGGGCCTGGGAGAGACTGGCCACCAGGAAGCTCCTCTCCTCCTCTCGGAGGTGCCTGCTGTGGGGGCGCTCCACATGCTCAGGACGATGGCTGCAGCCGGACGTGGCCTGGCTGGCCTCGGACTAGACCCTGGGCCACCCCGTCTGACAGTGATGGCGGCTCTGCCTGGTGGGGTGCAGGGCGTGGGCCCCGGGGCGGGCCTGAGAGTGTGGGGCGGTGGCTAAGGGGGGAGGCTGAGGCTGAGGAG